TACCCGTATGCCACGTGTTATTATAAATAGCCAATCGTTACCGGCACAGCCGCATTCACGATTCGCCCATAATGGCGTGTTATCGGATAAATAAAACAGATAGCCGGGAGAGGGTGCGCCTCGATTATACGTCGGCATCCCCCCTGCAAACGCGGAGCTCTCTCTCTCCTTCTCTCTCTCTCTCTCTCTCTCTCTCTCTTTCTCTCTACTCGCGGCTCGCAATTTCTCGTTATTATTTTAGCACATTCAGACGCGATAGATACATATTGCGATAGATACACAAATTGCGCCGCGCATGCTCACGTCCACACGCATTATCTCCTGCATAAGACATAGTGTTATTGCGAACTGGAATATATATTTGCCTGAATTTGATTCTCTCTCGAAAATAAATATCCACTCTAGTAACGAGAAAAAAGAACACTATTAATATTTCGTGCTTTCAAATATATTGCCAAACACGCACGTTGAAGTATTCATGGCATTATAGACTCGTGCGAGTGTAGCGAGTTTTCTTCGAAAACTCGCGACGCGCAAATTCGATACGCGTTTCCTCGCTTTTTAATGAAAACGTTAAATCTTGTCTAAAGCGATCTCTTCTTGTTGATATTGACGGCGACGGCAAAATGCGTCTCCGCGACACACACGGGGCGGTGATTTTCGTCACACGTGGTATTCAAGCTAAATACATTAGAAAGCTCATTTAAATACGACACAATGGCGAAGCCGGACGGTCGCGTCCGGATAAATTCGTTGGCCGGAGTGATACTGTCCGTCGCGCGTTTCCATCGCCGGCTGTGCCGCGCCGCATTCGAACGACGCGCCGCGCGGAAACGAGAGCGCGAATTGATAACAACGCGGGATTTATTTAGAGGATTATTTATTCGAGATCGAGCGCGCGACGCAAAACCGGTTGCCTTCGCGAGTTTAAATTACTTTAACGGCGTTTATCCCATTTTCACAGGCGACGTCAGCGATATTTCGGCAGTTGCGCAAAAGCCCCGACGTCAATACTTTCCCGTGGCAAACACCGCGGAAGACAATCGCGTTGACACCCTGTGATGGATGTCCCGCCTGCTCAAAATNCCCCCTCAGTTTTCCCGCCAATAAAGCCCATTGTAAATGCGAACTATTTGAAATATTAGATCGGCACAGCGATTACAGCCCGTTCAGTCATCGCCGTTGACGCGACGTAATCCTTTCCCACCTCTCTCTTTCTCTCTCGGCTCTCAGCGTGCGCGCTTCGCGCAAAACGCGTTCGCGCCGCCTGTCACGCTTTTCGCGTTACCTACGTTTTCACGCATTCTCTTTTTTGCCTTACGATAAATACAATCAGTTCTCCTCCTTTCTCGTCCTTTTGTTATCTGAGCAGAGTTTAGGAAAACAATGACACGTTTGTGTGTGTATGTTCTCACTTTCTGCCCGGAGTCTAAAGCAAATTGTTCCATTAACCGGACAATTATCAATGGCCGCACATTTGTTAAAGAAATAATTAAGAACACAATTATTTCTATGTACGCGAAGATATAGAAACTAATAATTAAAAAATTATATTCTAAAAAATTAAAACATCGACAATCATGTTATGATTAATATTTACGTATCTGCTAATTTTGTTTCTTTGATAAATGTTCGATCATTGGGGATATGTATAGTTTAATTCAAGAATCGACGGCGATAATTTCCATGATATATTTTACGCACAATATCGCATAAATACGATATCGTTAGCGTACGTTAAAAACCTACGCGGACAGAGGCTAGAAGTGACATATTAGCATTTATCTTGTTATTATTTATGATTGAAAAGTACCTTGCTTTATATATGCTGTTTTCGCCCACAAATTACAACGTGCGCGCATACGGGATGGAAAAAAGTGTCAACTCTATTACCTCGCGCGGTTTTAAAAAGTCTCTTAATCCTTCCAAGTTTTAACGAGATGTCGAAATGTCAGTGTGCGTGCTGACACCTATACCTATCAATTACCTATTTACGCTCGAGCCGCGAAGGCTACTCTCTTTTATCGGGAGCGGACAATCTGACATACCGCGCGCTCAATGAGCAACTTACATTGATATTTTAGTAAGACGGGCGCGTAAGCAGAAAATCGCCATTGTATATCAACAACGCGATATTACGACACGTCATCTCTTGTGTGTGGTGTTGTACATTGTTCGTATGTATGATATGAAAAAAAAAATTCTTATTGTAAAAACTCGTCAAAATCGCGGTGCGGTATATGATACAAAGATGCGAGATCTCTCCGTGTCTTCTATATAGAAAACTCAGAAACACCGTCGCGTTACGTTACGGGTTGAAATTGTGTTTGGATTGTTCTTAATCTCCATTATAATTGCACGCGCAGTTGCTCCGGGAACCGACCGGACAATTTTGAATTTGGATTGTCGGCCCGATGATGGATCGGCCTTTTGTACGCGGCGTTGATGATACCTCGCAGATGTATCCACCGCGCCCTTTTCGGACGAAACCACTTGCCGGTGATTATCGATTAAGCGCATGCACACTCCGCTTCTTGCCCGATCCTTTTCCATCCGTCTGTCTTGACTCTTTTCTTTCTCTCTCTCTCTCTCTCTCTCTTTTTCTCTCTTTTTTTTTTTTTTGCTTCTCCGAATATGCTTTAATATTTTTTTTTTATCTCAAACGCGCTCGACATCTGGCTTAAAACGACTTTCGGAGCTCGCTACAAAAATTCACGTTCCTCCTGTGACAGAGAAATGTAAAATAAATAAATTGACGACAAGCCAATTGGTTTTTATAACATTCACACAGTTAAAAAAACACACAAAATATTTGTGAATACAGATAGCAGATTTTAATTCTCAGCATAGAGAGAGATTCGGTATTTATAATTGTTTTTTTTTTTTCTAATGTAATATACACATATATATCTCCAAAAAACTCTATTGCAATTTAATAAAAAGTTAAAAAACAACATTTTTTCAGAAATTTCATTATTTCTATTTATTATCACAGAGGACATCTGAAAAGTGACACGTAAAATATGTGTGTGTAACAGAAAAGTTCGCCAGCAACTACACGCGCGTCGCGAACAGATGTCTCCACTTTAGATAATTTCAGCTTTTACACTAATCTAATCAGCGTATCATTAAATAAGGAATACATTTAACAATCAATATACACCGCATGTTGCGTAAATGAAATCTATGCCATATCCCGATAAGTGTGAAACGTCACGACTTATCTGAATAAAAAACGCATCTATCGCCTTGTCATCTGATTGCAAGTCAAATATTGTAATTGAATTGTAAATAAAAGATGCGATAAGATAACGACTTTTTCATATTTTTTGTTCAAAAATAATGTGACACCTTTTACACAATAAAAAAATTAATTAAAAATCCATAATTAACGTAGTTAAAAATACCAACACAGCTAATGTTCAAGATTATTTTTTTTTTGAATAAATGCAAATCATTCTAATCTCATAATTGTAAACTTATCGAAAATACTTGCATGTGTTACAGAATATACATATACTGTTTAGCACATCGTATAAATTGTGTATATTATCTACACTTTATTTAACATATGAAGAAAAACGACAGAAATAATTATTTTTTTTAAAGTTGCAAAATTGAAGGTTTAGAAATATATATGAAAGCATGATTGTTTTAGAAATGATATTGTCCACGTAAAAAAAAAAAAAAAAAACATATATGTATACATATTTACCACCCATGATGTTGATGTGCATTCTCGGCTACATGCGCAGATGAAGTAGCCGCGCAATTTTGTAAAATACCGTAACCGTAATTACTGTTATTGCAAGATATTTAATATACGGAGCACGATTTTACCCGCGGTCCATCCCTCTGAATCAACCGCGGCGGCGAGAAAAGCAATACGAGCCTCCGATATAAGCACTTTCGCATAGCCGCCAGCTACGAAACACGCCAGAGGTTCTTTCAGCTTTATAAATAATAAATTCGCTTTAGAGAGAGAAAGAGAGAGAAAGAGAAAGAGAGGAGTGGAAAAGTTGACGACCGTTCGGGCGAAAAACGAAGGGAAAGATGAAATTGAGCGTACGAAAAGACAAGGAGGAAGAAAAGTAAAAGTGTGCGATGAAAAATTCTTCCACAACACAAGCCAAGTATATTTGCCAAGTGACTTTTATGTTATAAGCAGCATTTTTCACGCTAACTCTGCGCTTCAATATAATTGTAAAAAAAAAGAAAAGACATAAGTGGCTAAATTCATTTCGATTAAAGTTACTTCTGTGAAAAGAAGACCGAGCAGATATAAATCAGATGATTGTTTCTGAAACTCGCGATATAATCACAATATGAAATAATCACTTGAAAAAAACAAATGACATGAGAAAACAAGTGCTGTTTCTAAGATACGCTGAATTTTTTCCCGTCTCCGTGAAAAGAAAGAGAGATACTCTTATCAGATCTTTATGTAACAATTACAACAACAGAAAAAAAATAGAAATAACTATATAATGCCGTGGATACAGCACGGAACAGAACCAAACGAATAGTGCACGTAGCACGAAACAGAACCGAAAGCTTTTTATCCGTGGTTTAAGCGAACGATGATTACGCGTACTTCGTACATCCAAAACATGCACCTTGCGGCGCTCGAGGACGAGAACACGATAAAATGTGTGTCCGTTCGGTTTGAATCCGTGTTACATCCACTGTACTGTCGATAAGTAGAACTGTCAAGCATCGAGAGCATCGGTGATGGAGGCACGCAAACAAACGAAACCGTGTCCGTGTGCGTGACGTCCGAACGACATGAACGAAAGTGGATCTAGCACGGACTCTAACCGAGATACATTTGTATCGTATGCGCCTGAAAGTGGAACTCGTTTCGTAGTTCATGAGTTCCACGCAAAGTGGAATCCGGCGCTGAAAGTAGCGGCTGGAAACCGTCGTAAAAAAACAACAATGGCATGGCTGCTCTCAGTCTTTTCTCTGACATAACATATATAGTGACAAACCACAGACGCCATTTTTGGTCCAGAAGTTCGAGTTGTCTGAGCTTTAACTTGAAAAACTCTCATCGGGAAGTAGCATACAGGCGTATAAACTGTCTCTCTTCAGCCATCCTTAACTCATCTCACCTCGAGCCACACTATCATCCCTTTGAAAGATTGGCATATGAGCGAACAATTCCCCCAATGTTTGCTTCGCCATTTTCAAACATCGAATTGCGCAACTCATCTCCGGGATATTATCGAGTGAGATATTTCCTGCTCTCGATAATATAAAATTCTACCTTCTATACCGACGTTGCATAAGATAACACTTTGTCGTCGTTTGGTAACTCTTCTCGCTCTCTTCAAACAGCTGGTTGGAAAAAAAATTCGATAACACGAAATATGTGTATTATGTGCAACTGCGGTCAAAATATGTCGTTTTCTCTGGCTCGTAAACGACTTTCACAAGGATCTAAGAAATAGAATCGCGTGAATCGGAATTTAAAGACTTCCAAAGACTTTTTTTTGACTATTCCTGATTCTGTCGCTGTGCGAATGTTGTTTACGTTTCCGATTTGTCGTGACGCACGTTACGATCGAGCAGTAAAAACGACAATTGAAAAACAAGTGAGTAAAATATACACGTCGTAAAATACATTTGCTGATACTGTTGGAGATGTTACGTATTTTGTTTGCAACTGGCAACACGTTGACAATAATGTCTGTAAAAAACTTATGTGCCTTTTTACTACAGTCTTTTCCATTTGAGAAAAAAACGATATTGTTAAATAACCTACACAAGATATTGTAGTACGTGTGTGTGTGTGTGCGTTATATATAATTAATTCTACTGTGTACATACGAACATTAATTGTTGTTGGTGTTTACAAGTGCGTATCTTAGATAAACATATTATTTAAAGAGCAGAGTTGTAAAAGAGTTATCTTTTTGTATTAGGTTTAATATTCATTGAGCTTTGTTCTAAACGCAATAATGGGCAATGCGGGAAGCAATCAACCTGTTAGCCATCACGGCACAGTAAGCAGGGAACATCGACACAACAAGGATCATCCGCCACCATCTCCAGGAAAAGACGGACAGGCGTTTGTCTTTGATAAAAAACCTAGTCAGAAACTTGTTTTTCAGTCTTCTCACGAGGAAGAAGAGCCATATTTTGCAAAAGTAATATAAAACTCAATATAATTGTAGTGACACGTGCATAAGTGATGATATCAAAAATTATTGCGTGTAAACAGAACAACCAACAAGAGGGAGATTTTTCATCACAACGACCAAGATCCAACACTGTTTCTGAGGGAACAAAAGTTGCAGACAGCAAGGTGCTACCGACTGTTTTCAAATGGGAAGGAGGCGGTAAGCAGGTATATATCAGTGGGACCTTCACAGGATGGAAAACCCTTCCAATGGTAAAGAGCCATGGTGATTTTGTTACAATAATTGATTTGCCAGAAGGAGAACATCAATATAAATTCTTTGTCGACGGAGAATGGAGGCATGACCCTGGATTAGTAAGTTTTTCGGACTTACTGTTATTTATATATTATTTTTTGTAAATGTGCACAAAGTATAAATTCATAGGAGGAAGTAAGAAAGTTTATGTAAAATGCTAAGATACGTTCAAAATATTCCTTTAAATCTAAAAATATTGATCATCTTGTGATATATTGTAGAAAATAGTTGACAACGGTATGGGCTCCAAAAACAATCTAGTATCTGTAAGAAAATCTGACTTTGAAGTATTTCAAGCTCTCGCGAAAGACAGTGAGAGCGTTACCAGTAGTGCTCAAACAGAATACGGACAGGAAATACCGCCTCACAAGCCTTGGGAAAAAGTGGCGGGTCCACCTATTTTGCCACCTCATTTGTTACAAGTTATTCTCAATAAGGATACACCACTATCCGTAAGTCAAACGCACGACAAAAAAAAATCATATTTTAGTCAGTATTTAAGGAGATTTTCATCATTGTTATTATTTTTGTTCTTTACAGTGTGAGCCTACTCTTTTACCAGAACCAAATCATGTTATGTTGAATCATCTTTACGCCTTGAGTATTAAGGATAGTGTGATGGTTTTATCGGCTACGCATCGTTATCGCAAAAAATACGTCACAACTTTGCTTTACAAACCTATTTAATTGTCGTCATTCCCGCTTGTTTGTTGGTGCTAATTCATTTTCTTGATTATCATTGATTGTTGTTAAGTATTGAGGTGTCGGAGTAGTGCGACATTGGTATGTAAAGAGAAAAAAGAAGTAACAACTTTGACCTCTTTCTCAGAGTAGAAGATCATAATATTCAAAAACGTTCGTTTTATCTCATTGTTTATTACACCACTGTTTACCTCAGTCATGTGTGTATAACAAAAAGTAACTACTATTTATTAAAGTCAAATATTTTATATTCGTGGTTCTTTTTCTATTGTATCGTCTTACAAAGCCTCAAAGCCTCCGAATAGAACGTGCATTCCCTTTTTGAACAAGTACATTCGCAAACGAGACACGTTTATCGTAAATATTATTTTGCATTTTTGCGCACTAAGTAATCGCGTAAATCTAACAAAGTATAATCGGCTGTGCTGAACTTCATTCTACAAATGAAATATTTACTTGTGTCTTCATTTAGAGATTGTTATCGGTTACTTCTGATATGTACGCGTATGGCGGTTCAGATCTCGTTCTGAGAAAGTATAAACCTTTGGCGGTACGATCGACGTGCTCTCCCATCAGAACCACTTGAGAATTGACGCATTTGCCGTTCATGTACGAGTCCCAACTGTCGCATTTTGTAGCCGACAGACCTATCTTGGAGTTAATACTTTCCGTAAAGTACACGTATGATCGTCCATGACTGCAAGCCTCTAAAATAAGCGAAGATACCGTTCATCTATGATCCAGAGCTCAAGAATAAAAGAATAAAAAAAAAAAAAAAAACATTTTACCCATTATTTCGGGAAGGCAGCAACATCCAGGCTGAATCGCTGTACCCGCATTCGGATAAAAATCAGCTTGTCCCAGAGGTTGAAGAAAACCCAATACACCTCCGCAAGAGTGTATGATGTCGACGAACATCGCGTCGGTGCGGTCCAATCGAGTCTTCTCGGAGGTGAGTAAGTGAACACCCGGTAGCGCCGGATCCAAACCTGTCACTCTGCTCAATTTCCCGGAAGTCGTCGCGCTGCCCGCATTCCCGGCGACGTGTGCTCCGAGGGAATGACCTTGCAAATCAGAAGTAACGTAAAAATAACAAAATTTTAACAGTTGTCGCGTAACGTGCGTTAGCGTAACATGATGTACCGATGAAGTGTACATTTTCGGTCTTCAATCCGGTTTCTTTTACCAATAAGTCTATGAAACTGCCGGCGTCTTTGCCGACTCTCACGGTATTCTGCATCGGGCCCAAGTAAAACGTGCTAGCGGCCAAAGGTTCCCAATCCACGAGGATAACATTGTAGTCGCCATGGGTGAGAAAAGCTGTGTACCAAAAGAATATAAAACTCAAAAATACATTCGTTCACGTACTAAGATCTCACTAGTAAATCAAAGAATACAAGCGTACCGTCTTTCATATTTAAAAATCCGGTACTCATGGCACTTGATTTCCATCCGTGCGTTATAAATTTCGTTTTTCGTGAGGGGTTGAAGTCGGAGTCGGCGAGATTCGCGGTGTCGTTTAAGGTCAATCTTGTGCCTTCTTTCGGACCGGATCTTAGAAAGATTTATAAATAAAATTTTCAGAGATCTACATCGAACAACTACTGAAACGGTATGACATATAATACATACTAATATGCACACGTATTAACAAATCGTATAAATGTAAAAAAGTACCGAGTGTAAATTATATAAGCTATGTCCGAACCATCCAGTACACCTCTTGCTTCATTATCTGGAAACTTCAGCACTGCTACTTGGGGTAGTCCGTTACCGTCAGGCATGAATATCCAATCTTCTCCATAGCCGTCGTATCTCTCGCGTAAACCGCTTTCCCATTTCTTCGAATGCGCGGTATGCCACAGTATGACGAGAACAATCATTTGTTTCGACGGTAGGATCGACAACATTTTACTAGCGTTGTTGTATCGTAATTAAGCGGACGAAATGTTTTTTTTTTTAACTCGAAGTGCGCGAGCCTTGCATTAAAAAACTGCCAACGACAGTTGTAGTAATAAAATCGCAAAGTGAGGATTTCTTTTTAAATCCAGACAAGTACCATGATAAGCAATCAGTACTTTTTCGTCCGGCCTATTTCTTCCTGGTTTATCTTGTATATGTAATATTGTGAACACGGAAGTACTGTTAAGCGGCATCAAAGATCGTAATTATATTCAACAAGGTGGGCAAGCAATGTAGCGCGCGACTTTGTGTATTTTATGCATATCGCGTGCGACCAGTTCTAAATCAGTGTTAAAACCGGCTGGTTTACCGATAATGTTACAAATGCTATAAAGCACCTTCTATCATGAATTATTTGCATTACTTTCCCTGATTATTTGTGCTCGGAATAAAATTAATTGTGTGCACATGTAATCGTTCGCTCGATAAAACATCGATATTGTTTAAAACGTACATATAAAAGAAAAAAACCGTAAACGCGCGCGCTACGAATGTATATTTTGTCAAATCTCTATTTATTTATTTATCTATTTATCTATCTATCTCTCTCTCTCTTCCTCTTCTATTTCTCTTATTTTCAGTAAAAGATCTCATTTTCACTCGGTTGAGACTATCTCCATATTCCAAAAAATCAAACAATAACTTAATATTATTATTTTTAGATTTATTATTATATATGTGTTATAGATATACAATTTTTTTGTTTTATTTTTACATTTTGAATCTTCATGTATCAAGTAAACGATAAATATAAGAATAACAGTGAATACACACATTTATGTGCACCTTTTTTTCCATACATCAATCATACGTAAGTATCATAAATACAGTAGAAAATTCATTGTACCAATTTTTGTTAGATGAGCAATTAGAATGCGTACTGTTTTTTTTGGATTTCTCTGAAACACAAGAAGCAAGCTTTAATGGCGGAATTGCTCATATAAGGTGAAAACTTACTTTGTTTATTTTGTTCAAAATTATTACTTTGTTCAACGGATATTGAATCGGTCCCAAACTCGCCATCGCCGAAACACCCTACAAGAGGTACTTTGGGAAATAATCTTTTGAATATTGTCGATTCCACATTTCTCTCTTCATTGTACATATTCTGTCCACGAGCTCTACACGCAAACATAAATCCCATGGAATGTTTCTTTAATCTTACTTGGTCTTTAAATACTTTCAACTTTTCTTCAACTTGTTGCTTTGTTTTGTATTTCACATCAACAACCACAGACCATGATTGCATACGACCAGAAATAGCGACAACGGTAATTTGCCGATTCAGAGAGATAGAGGGAAATGACTTGTTTGCCTGCTTGACGTGTAAACGATTTACAACACCACCCCACACGGAAACTCTTTTATTTCTGCAGCTACAAAAAAAAAAAATTATATATATATATATATAAAAATAAATAAGTTTTACTCTAACTAGCTAGTAAACGTTGCTTATTTAAAGTGTATATCATGTTAATTACACTTGAATTACCTTGCTTTTAAAATAGAAATTATGGTAAATGCTTTTTCACGACTATCAAGATCACAGAACAACATTAAACATAAAGAATTCTCATCACTCTGCTTTGACGGTTTATCAATACAATTCAAAAGAGTTGTCATCCTAGTTGTCAATCTTTCTTTCTGATGTACTATCAAAGTTCCATATGGTATAATAAGTGTGCTAATTTGCACATTTGGAATTCGTGGCAAATATGCAGACAATATCTGATTGTGAGAATAGGAACATGATTCCATCTCTATATCATCTACAATAATACCACTAATTCTTAATATGATAGAGTCATAATTCCTAGGAAGTCTCACAGTACCTTCTTTAAAACAAAACAAAAAATGAAATTTAATAAATGTTATATACATAGTGTACATATGTGTGCATAACATGTACAATGTACCTTGAACATTTTTTACAAATTCGTCATCAAACAGTCCAGTTATAAAATATAATCCTACAGATGGTTCAATCCATGCAGGTTCCAGATATTCTTGTATTAAACCTCTAGTAAAACTACGAATAGTATATTCAGGACCTCTTGTTCGTTTCTCTTTATTTGCAGCTTCTAACCAAATTCTGTATAAAAAAAAGAATACCAATTTAAAGTTGTCACACTCACCAGTAATATATATTCTACGCTTTGGATTATATTTAAAACATTTAACATAAAATGTACAATCATTTATTTTTTATAAAATTCTATTCATTTACTTTCAGTAAGCAAATATCTGACATAACACAGCAATTTATTATATAATACAATTTATATACTCAATTTGTCATATGTTTCTTTATGACAAAAAATATACACATGTTTTCTCTAGAACTAAATATATTTAATATAAAACCTAGACGTAAATTCTTTTTAAATAATACCTGCTAACTTTTGCTGCATTCGCCAGATCCTTGGCTTTTAAATACCGAAAGACAATTCTTAAAATGTCGTAATTCAAGTGTGGACTTGAATCCAATAGAATTTCACAATTTTGTATTTTATCATTCTCTAATTCGACAGGATCTGTACTTCGAGATTTTTTTTGTGGTGGCTCCTCCATTTACAAAATGTGGTTTAATATTTCTTCTTATATGAATACAAGACAGCACTTTGTTATAAACAAAAAAATATCAAAATAATGTAACGCGAAATGTAACAACTTTGTTTTATATTTCTCTGTTGTTTTTCCACTGCATATCAGTGTGCGGTCACACAGGTTAGTTAAGTTTTGTTGATTTTGTTTGATGCGAAAATGGACCAAGTTTTTCACAGTTTTGAGACGCTTAAGGCCGAAGCACAGACTTAAAAGCATAAAGGATCGTCTACAATGGGAGTAGGCAACTTTGACTATAAGTAAGTTCCACTTGCTGTTCGCACCACTCGTGAGCCTTACCTATCTTTGTTTACCTTTTCCTATATTAAAAAAGCATTTGGACCGAGAAGTGCACGTTTGGAGTCGAATATATCGCACCTATTGTTGCCTCTTTTCCGCGTTGCCGATTGGTTAGTTGGTTGATCGAGCCGAATCGAATCGGGGTCACTGACCTCGGCCGCGCGACCGCGGCGGTGTTACTGACTTCGGTCACGTGATTACGGTATATATATGTATAAATGCATATATGCGTATCTGTTTGTATTATATATAGATATAGAATATTACATATACTATATATGTATAATATTCTCTGTTTTACCCTTTTAGCTCACGTGACTTTAGTCACGTGTTGTTTTTCCATTTCTCTCTCTCACTATTTTGTGAGTTTGATTTTCATTCGTTATTTATGTATCGCATCTATTGTTGTCTCTTTTTCGCGTAGCCGATTAGTTGGTTGATCGCATCGAGTCGAGTCGAATCAATTCGGTAGGATCAAAAAAAAAATAAACATACTATTATCTTGATAAGACGATTTTATCTTGCAAAAAATTAATTATATCCTCATAAGATAATTTTATATTGCAAAAAGATAATTAAATACTCATAAGATGCTTTTATCTTGCAAAAAATCAATTATTCCCTCATAAGATGATTTTATCTTGCGAAAAATCACTTCTTCCCTCATAAGATACTTTTATCTTGCGAAAAGGCAATTATTCCCTCATAAGATAACATTCCATTGCGAAAATGCCATAATTCCCTCATAAGATGATTTTGTATTGCAAAATTGCGAATATTTTCTCATAGTAGAATTTCGCATTGCGAAATTGCGAAATCTCCCTTATATGAGGGGATCGCGAATTCTTCTTCATATGAGGGGATCGCGACTTTGAGGGGATCGCGAATTCTCCCTCATATGAGAAGATCGCGAATTTGAGGTGATCGCGAATTCTCCTTCATATGAGGGGATCGCGAATTTGAAGGGATCGCGAAGTGTCCCTCATATGAGGGGATCGCAAATTTGAGGGGATCGCGAGTTCTCCCTCATATGAGGGGATCGCGAATTTGAGGGGATCGCGAATTATCTCTCATATGAAAGGATCCCGAATTTGAGAAGATCGCGAATTCTCCCTTATATGAGGGGATCGCGAATTCTCCCTCATATGAGGGGATCGCGAATTCTTTTTCATATGAGGGGATCGCGAATTCTTTTTCATATGAGGGGATCGCGAATTTGAGGGGATCGAGAATTCTCCCTCATATGAGGGGATCGCAAATTTGCGGGGATCGCGAATTCTCCCTCATATGAGGGGATCGCGAATTTGAGGGGATCGCGAATTCTCCCTCATATGAGGGGATCGCGAATTTGAGGGGATCGCGAATTCTCCCTCATATGAGGAAATTGCGAATTTGAGGGGATCGCGAATTCTCCTTCATATGAGGGGATCGCGAATTTGAGGGGATCGCGAATTCTCCCTCATATGAAAGGATCGCGAATTTGAAGGGATCGCGAAGTCTCCTTCATATGAGGGGATCGCGAATTTGAGGGGATCGCGAATTCTCCCTCACATGAGGGGATCACGAATTCTCCCTCATATGAGGGGATCGCGAATTTGAGGAGATCGCCAGTTCTCCCTCATATGAGGGAATCGCGAATTTGAGGGGATCGCGAATTATCTCTCATATGAAAGGATCGCGAATTTGAAGGGATCGCGAATTCTCCCTCATATGAGGGGATTGCGAATTTGAGGGGATCGCGAATTTTCAATCATATGAGGAGATCGCGAA